AGACACTGATATTGGCACAATGGGATGCCAGATTTAAGTAGATAGAATCCTGCAGGCTTCAGTGGTTTCATAAATACAACCATCTTACTGCTCCTGATTGCATCCTCTTCTGCAGCTCTGAGATGAAAGTCCTCGGTAGTCCAAGCCCAGTGACATCCTGCTATCTACAGAGAAGTCAACTCTGGGCAACGCTTAAAAAATGGACCACAGCTCAACAACAGTAATGTAAGTGCAAGCATTAGGAAGTCATGAGTATATTTTTAATGCCCTCAGTGCTCATTTAACGTTGGAGAACAAACTGGCATGGATTAACCCTAGTATAAAGAGACTGGGCAAGGCTACAAACTTATCCCAACACCTCATACTCAGAAAAAAAACCAACTAAAACAACAGAGAGCAGTGAAGTTTTTACTCCGCAATTTCCTGGAACATTAGCATGCACATTTAGTCAGGAGTCTTTCATTTCAAGCATTGTCTTTTATCTAGTTATTACTTCCTTTCCGGAAGACTTCCAGTAATGTTTCTGGAAATCCTTAACTCGTGCTTGGAGTCAGGGAAATTTGTGTTCAGAGGCAAGGGTGTTAGGTTCACTGAAGGAGCTGGGGTACTTTTTATCTCAGCAGGCAAAACGTTTAGATTTTCCTGAAGCATATCACCATTTATGAGATTTTTGCCAAGAGTCAAACGACACTTTTTATCTTTCTGTCTCTTATTTAAGGCAGACTCTGAAGACGCATTTTTCCTTAACTCTATGCCACTAAAAAAAAAGAGTATATTGCAACTTCAAAATGAGATTGCCTTTATTTCTGTTCTCACGGAGGTCTTTGATTCTAAAACCACATTCTACTACCTTGTTCTGCAAATGACTGAAGATCAATTATAAAAGCACTCTTCTAATTTGCAAAGTATACTATAATTAGAAGCCAACTAAGAAAAATACTCTGTAAATAGAAACTTTCCCTTTGATTGTAAGTAGAGACTTCTGTAAAGAATCCTCCCGCCAGCTAATTATAATACTAGTCAACAAACCATTATCTCCAGGAGATCGAGTATTTCAACACAACCTGAGTTCCATTACTGTCAAGTATGCCTGATTGAATGTTCCAATGTCTAACGCAAGCCACATATATTATTTTAGCACATATTCAGATCTCCTTCAGCCTTTCAGTGTTCTAATCAGATCTTAGATGGGATGGAGCAAGATACAAACAGCTCTGATACTGATGCACTCACTAAACAAATATAATCAACACAAGAATGGAGCTACGTGATCTTTTGCTTAAACCAGTATACGCAGCGGTATCAGCAGACTCTTTGAACAATAATACTTGTTTTATGACTACAGATGTGAATGCTGCCGATTTATTCTTACACTTCAACTTCAAAGTTCATATTTGGCACAATTTAATGTACCATTGACTTTTCTTCCAAAAGGTGCTCTTACAAATTACGTGTTAAGAATCTGCAAATTGTAGAGTTTCTACCTTAAGAAAAAAAAATCAGAAAAATTTCTTAAAGAAACAAAGTTTATGCAATTATAAGGCAATCCTACTCCTAGCCCATCCTGATCCAACAGTCCTCTCTCCTACAACTTTTGAATTTGTCAGTGAACTTTTCTTTTGTATGTATCACTAAGAAATGTTAAGTTCTCAAAGGATCATTAAAACAGGAGACCAAGAAGAGCAACAATCCTATTAATTGTCAAGAAGTAACTTTAATGCGAGCTTAATCTTACCAGATGGCACAGATCCTACCCAGAAATCATAATACCAACCATGGGAAAAAGCAAACTGCTTTATATTGCAGTAGATGTCTGTTCAGCACAAATTCTTTACAGGTGAACTCACTGTAGCTAAATATTACAGGTTCTCGAAACCTGAGGCCATTTTGTGAGACATGCAACAGCCCAGTCCTTGCCGTAAAGAATTCAGAACCTCAACTTGACCAATGAACTACGTGGTTGAGCTCCCGGTCTGCACTCCACCACGCGTGCAGGCTGATTTCACATCACGGCGCTCTCCAGAAGTACAGAGCATCTCAGGGGTCATGTGAGCACCAGCTCTGCTACCACCTGCAGACTGCTCACCAGGGTGAGCTCCGCAAGCCCGCGAGTGCCGCGGACTGGAAGCCCAGCGCTGCGCTAGCAGCCTTCCGGCACACCACTTCTCCCGTGGTTCATCCGCACTACTGTCCCTACCCGTTTGGGACAGACCTTCTCTCAAAGCCCCGGGGTCTTCCCAACTCCCTTCTCGCCCCGGCGCCGCTCCCTGCAGCAGCGTTCCGGCCGCAGCCCCCCCTCGGGGAAGAGGGTGTGGGGTTGTGTGGCAGTGCCACACCGCCCTCCCTCCCACTGGGCAGCCGGGAGCGCGGGCCCCCTCCGAGGTACGGAGGCGGCAGAATCCGCGCGTGACCGGGCCTACGCGCGGCTACGGCGGTGCGGGACAGCCGCGCGCGGCCCCGTTATGCAACACAGGGCGACTTCCCCCCCCCACCGGCGGGACAGAGGGAAACCGCCCTGCGGACACGTGACCAGGAGCGCAGGCGCCGCCGCCATCTTGGATGGGGGCGGGAAGCGGCGGTGACCATCCGCCGCCGCAGCCCTGCCCAGGGACGGGCCTTGCCGGGGACTGGCCCTTCCGCACCCACCGCCACGGTGGGGACGGGCGGAGGGGGACGGGCTGCGCCCTCACAGGGCGGCGTGACCCCATGATCGACCCTTCCGCCCGCAAACAAAGCGAGCTGTCGCCTCCCCAACCCCCCACGCGGCCGCTCTCATCCCGGGAAAACGGAGAGACCGGCGGCCGTTACGGGGCTCCTCGGGGTGGGGTCGCGCACCCCCCCCCGCTTATCGCTCGCTCTGCCCTGGCAGGCCCCTGCTGTCGCTGTGTAACGGGGAGGAGAAAGTTTAAGCCCTTCTTCCAGGTCCGGCCACTACAAAACGTGACAGGAACCGCCTGCTCCGGGCATTTCCCGTGCAGAGGCGCGGCAGCCCGCGGGGCACGGCCCGGGACGGGGAGGGCAGGCCGACCGTGGTGAGGGCGGAAGGTGAAGCTGTCGGAGCTAAAGAGGTGCAACTGGGACGGCCACGGGCGGGTCACAACCCAAGAGGGCGCCCAGCCCTTCCAACCCGAGGCCGGCCAGAGGAAAATTCAAAGAGGTCTTTATGAACCGGTTTCGTTCACAAATGCAGATCCCTGAAGGCACTTAGGAGGGCCATTTTGGTCCTGTGTGGACTACGGAATATGTGATGTGCATGTTCAGCCAAGCTGACTCGGGCCTCTCAATGCTCCCCGAGTAAACAAAACCACCACCACCACTTGGAAGGCTGCTTTTACACCAGAGCCAGGATGCTGCACAGAACAGACTTCAATTCCAATAGTCCATGAGAGCCTGATCTCCCAGTGTATTTGGTGGGACACACTGAGAAGCTACCCCTGATGTGCTAGTTCTGGGCAAGGACTATGTTTCCTGTTATCAGCACTTCAAACCCAGAAAGAACAGTGTCCAGTCTTACCACTTCCTACCACTCATCTTCTCCCTCTCAACATGGACTTCTAGGATTCATTTTGGGATAGAGCTACACTCGATACAGGCCAGTGAGCCAGAATAAATACTTTTGGGACTTATGCTATGAATTCATTATGATTTCAGTACTGTAACATCTACCCACTAGTTTACAACCTAGTAAATTGCTTTGGCCTTAAAATGATGTAAGAATTCACTTAATGTACTTAAAGCCTTAGAAATTCACACCCATCTCTTCTGGGTATTCCTTAAGAGCATATCCCATCTTTAGCACTCAGAAAAAGGAGCCATTCGTTTGGTGTGGCAGACAACATAAAACAGGCCTCTAGGAGTGGATGAACTGGACAGCACTGCAAGTAAACTCCAAAACCAGAACCCTTACTGCTTTGTACCCTTTTCAGGTTAGTTCCCAATGATGTGTTTGGCTGAACAGCCTTATAAACACCCCATCTTCCAGCCCTTTCTTCCCCTTTGCATGACAGGCCATCTGTAGAGCAGAAACTGCAGAGCTTCAACACGATAGCTTGGCTGCATAAATATGGGGCAGATTTTAAAGGCATTGCTCACCAAGAGGGCAGCAATGAATGGCACTGGGGGAAACCTCAGTCTAAACATAGCTGCTGCTGCACCGGAGAATGCCTCAGTGCCACTTGAAGTCTTCATTCTTGGTGACAGCCACCTTCTAGCAACAAGTGGCACATCTGTTTTCAAGATGTGCTCTGCTGCTTCCTGACAGCCACACAGAAAATCAGCTTTCCTCTGAACAGAAGCTCCTGTTGTAGCATTTCAATGTGCTGCTTTAGTAGAATGATTACCACCCTTTCCCAAACATCATCAGCCACCTTACTGAATGTGGCTTTCCACAGAACCAGACCTAGAGCTGATGACCCCTGACTGCTACCTTGATCCCTGACAAGTCTCATTTGGAGGGGAGGGAAAGAACAGGGTCCACATAACAATTATTTCAAGGCATTCTATTGTTTTAAGCCCCTATAAAATGCTCTCTTAGGACGTACGGTTTCTATCTAACATTATTATCACCACTGCAAGTTTAGTCCAGCTATTGCTTGTACTTCTGCATGGTACAACTACTTCAGTGGCCTACAGCACAGGAAGCAGCCTGGCAGTACTCTGCACCCTGCGCTCCAGCAAGGCAGGGTTCAAAAAGCAGTGGTCCAGAAAGCATGGCAGGCTACAAAAAGCGGTCTTCCCTCCCTCCCCAGTTCGTACTAGACACTCTACAGCAGCGTGTGGGGGTGGCCAGCACCTACGCTGCCGAGGGGATAAGGGGGAATAGGGCAAGCTACCAGGCAAAACGGGAGGGGGGAGGATCCCACGGCGAGGCTTCGGGGAAAGGCAAGGGGCTGCCCTCAGCTCGGAGAAAATCGGGAGGCGGTGAAGGAAAAAGGAGGAGAAGGAGCAGGAAACCGCCCGATGAGATGGCGCAGCGCGAAGAGGCCAAGACATGGCATTACCTGGGCTTGGTGGCGGCCGAAGCCCTCCTCTTCCTGGTCCCCGCACAAGGCCCTCCTTAGCCGCTCCAGATGCTCCCGCAGGGTGACCCGCTGGTGGAAAGAAAAGGCCGGGTGGAGCGAGGCCATAGTGAAGAGCAGGAGCAACTCCTCTTGTGCGCCGAAGCCCAGGCCCTGTGCGGCAGGGAGGCCGGCCTGCCCGTTTTCCCCGGCTCCGTCCATCACCATCACCACGTCCTCCTCCTCCTCCTCGGCCCCCTCCTCCTCGGCGGCGCCCGCCTGAGGCCGTCGTGCCGGCCAGCTCTGCAGTATGGAGTCCACCTGGGGCAGGAGGCGGTGGAGGCGGCCGGCGGCCTCGCGATTCTCGGAGCCCAGCAGGGCCAGGTAAACGATGAGCTTGGAGCGCACGGCTGGGTCGCGGAAGTCGCCGAGCTGCCCGGGGTCGCTGAGCCCGTTCGCCTTCGCCTCCGAGTCGCGGAGGCAGTGGTAGTCCTTGCGGGCCAGGTCTTCCAGGCAGGAGCCCAGGAACCGCAGCTCCAGCGGGTTGCACAGGTCTAGCAGTCCCACCATGAACTCCAGCCGCTGCGCCGAGCCCAGCACCAGCCCGAACCACTCGTACACCGTCTCCTTGTCAGTGCGGGCCGCCGCCGAGCCGGGCCCGCCGCCGGCCGGCGCGGAGGCGGGGGGCGGGGGGCCAGGCCCAGGTCCCGGCCCCAGGCCGTGCAGCTGGCTCGGCCTCTCCAGCCCGCACCCCCTCCCCGCTGCGGCGCCCCCGCGGGCGGGCGCCCGGGGCACCTGCTGCAGCTGGAGGTGACAGTCCAGGGCACCGCCAGGCTCCTTCAGCCCCAGCCCCGCGGCGGCCGCTGCCGCCTCTTCCGCCGCCGCTGCCGCTGCTGCCTTGTGGCTCGTCTGCTTCAGGGGCAGCTTCATCTTCAGCATCCTCGGCGCGGGAGGGGCGCGAGCATCCGACGGGGCCCGGCTGCGGGTCGGGGCCCGGCCGGTAGCGGGAGGTCGCGGCCGGCGTTCACGGGGAGCCGTTCATGCTGCCGCGGCCCTGCCGGCGCGGGAGAGGCGCGCGCAGGGGCAACGTTCCCGGCGGGTGCGCGCGTGGGGAGTGGGCGGGAGGGCGGGGGAAGAGCGGGCCTCGCGTGCAGCGGTGGCTCCCGCAGCGGCTCCCCCTCCCCCCCGTCCCCGGCGGCCGGGCGCGCGCGCAGAGTAGGAGGCTGCCGTTAGCGCTCGCGGCCCCGGCCGGCGCGGACTGAGACCCAGCTCCCCGCGGGGGGCAGGGCAGCGGGACGCGGCCGGCAGGGGGCGGGCGGAGAGCACCTCTCCGCCTATCGGCACCGACGACGTCAGCGCGCTCGCCGCCGTGCGCGGTGGGCATGGGCCTGGGGCAGCCCGCGCGCTGGAGGCCGGACTGGGCGGCCAGGGTTTGGCTGAGGTCCGCTCAGCGGGCGGCTCGGGGTTAGGCGGGGGCTGCCTTCTCCGCGAGCGGCGCAGCACAGGTCGCACCGCTGTGTGCTCCGTGCCGCCGGGCGGGCCCGGGGCTATGCTACCGCTCATATTCGGGAGCGCTCCTGAGCAAGGGAGGCGAGGCCGCTTCTCGTCTCTTAACAAGTGGGAGCGGGCGGAGCTGGGCGGCTCCCCGGGCCCGGATGGCGCTGCGAGGAGGGGCAGTGCTTCGCGATGTGGCCGCGGAGTCGTATCTTCCCCAGCTGACCTATGGCAGCGGCCTGACACCTAGCTGAGCCTCTCTTCTGCTTCATGAGTGCAGTTCTCGCTCAGATGGGAACAGCTCGGTGGCTCACCGGAGAGCAGTGGAGGAGCAAGCCTCCGTATCTCCTCCTAGCTAAAAGATCTTCCTGAGATAAGGCCGTGCTGGATTGATGAGATTTCTAATTCAACTGAAACTACTGCTGTTGTAAGATGCCTCACTTAAATTAGTACTGTTACCGTGCCATGTGGCTTTCTACCAGGCTGTTTTACAGTAGGGAAATACAAGGACCGTTACAGAAAAAGAGTATGGTAAAACAGCCAAGGGATAGTCCATCATGAAATACTAGGCTTGCTTCATTCTCATTGCCCCTGTTCTGTTCCCAGCTGCTGTGATCCACGACGACGAAGAGCCTACAATTATAAGATCAAGCAGTACTCTGAGTAATCAGAAAGTTGCAATGCTCCTTGCTTTGCTTCCCACACATTTATATAAAGACAGTGTATTTGAAAACAGAACCAAGCATGTGGCTTGCAGAATAACACAGGGGAAAATAAAATGTGTTTTAATTACAATTGTGCCAAGCAGCATCCCCAAACTGCTTACAGCAACAAAGTACAAATTGCTAATGCTGACTTGCTCTTATCTATGTGTCCAGAAGCCGGTTGTGCTACCATGAAAGAGCTTATCAAACGGCTGAGTAAATGTCATGCAGATTATAACAATCTTGTATGCATTGCTCGGATTTGCCACAGAGCAGTCTTGAACAGTAGTTACAGACTAAACCACATCCTGGGTTTATATACACACATGTGCAGCAATGTATGTATTTTATTAAAAAAAGAAAAGGAGTAACTTGTAGTTAGCATATGTTAGGTTTATACACACCTCACTGCCACTTGGCAGTAGCAGAAATGGACTTCAACCCGACTCACTGCAGCTCTCCTCATTCATTAGCATCACAGCAGCGCTATCACTGCCCTCAGACATGTAGTGTGTAGTGGGGAGTCCTTTCATCCCAGACTGCCAGCAGTTTTTTGCACATCCCAGGACCCAGAAGGTGAAGAATTGGCCCAAGAAGTCCCGTAAACCCATTTCTTTCATGCTGTGTGCCGGTTAGGGCCTGGCTGGATCCATGAATTGTTCCAGATCCCCACAGTTATTAGTGAAAGCAGCCATCACAAAACCCCATGATGATATTTTACATTGTTGTTATGAAGCAGCAATTCTAGAATTACAGCAGTTCTTGTCCTATTGTCATTACATATTTTTGTTTCAAAGAAAAGTCACCATGACCGTCCCAGGGAATGTGCCAAGCTGGAACTGGGGAAACACAGAAACAAGGCTTGAGGTTTCTGCTTAGTAATTTGAACAGGTATTTAGCCTTAATAGAATTTGCAGTATCAGAACTGCAATGATCAGAATGTTGGAAATAACATTTCCTACTTTAACAGCACCTGATTCAAAATAAAGATAACACCATGGAGAGTGAAAAGGAATTTAATCTGGGCAAAGGGGAGGAGGGGGCTGGGCTGACAGAAAGAGAAGACCTGCTGATTCATTCATCAATCCACAAAGGTGAGGTAAATTGCACACGCATGAGGGGAATGGTTGAAAGTAACACTCCCCGAGTCCAGAAAATATTTGAGCCTATCCTTTTGTGATAGTTCCCAAGCTGACACTTAGTTTCACAAATAAGCTTAAGAACCCGATTAACTCATCCCTTCTTAATTTACTCTTTCTTAACGGCTTAACCTATGATACTTGAGAAAAACAGATGTGAAAGATGTGAAGTCAGGGAAGGAGAGGGGGGAAGGAAAAGGTAAAAGGAATAGCATGAGAAAGCAAAAAGAAAACAATGATATTCCAGGTGGACTTGTGAGTATTGCAGTAGCTGAGGGAGGAGGTGCCAGCAAGACAGAGGGCAGCGTGGAAAGAGAACTGAGACTCAAGTGCCTTGGAGAAATGAAAGTGAAACTCAGGGTGTGAATGGAAGAAGGATACTGTGGGGACATGGATGCACACTGACCAGGCCACACAACAGGAGAGGCTCCTGTAAGATGTGATTTGCTCCGGGCAGCTACCCTTGAAGATTTTTTATCTGATTTTCTTAAATAAAAAAAAAAACAAAACCACAGCTTGCACAGACCCTTAATGACTGCTGGGCCACAGTCATGCTGACATAAAAATGAGCACGGCACAGCCTTGCAGGGAAAAACATGTCTGTAATCTCTAAGCTAAAAGCCAGATGAACTCTGACACAACATGGAGCAGCAGAGGAGCAGGCAGGACAGTGCTACCCGTGCAGCAGCCCTGTACCCCCACTGTGGGAAGTGGTGTTTGTTTGAGAGCAGCAGGGCGCTGGGCTTGCACCACAGGTCAATGGCCAGAACTGTGCCATGAGGAGCAAGATGCCGTGTCCGAGTCAACACTGCTGCAGCCAGTCTGCAGTAACGGCACCTGAAGCTTTTCTGACACTCCCCAGGCTGCAGCATAGCCCCTGTTCAGATTATCAAAGCCCCAACGCCTCCTGAGTGCACAGAGGCTTCATCAGTGACGTAGAAACCCTGACCTCACTGGCAGATCATTCTGTGAACCTGGTTGCCGCAGGCTCCTGGCTCTGCTTTTACTCCTGGGTGTGACCAGCACAATGTGGGTGAATGAGCTGTGCAGAACACCAAGGGACGCACCTGTTACCTGTCCTTGTGTGTCATCACACTGTGCACAGGCAGCCACAGTGTATCTTCTGTGTGAAATGGCTGCCCTCGCTGAGTTCTTACAAAGACCCCATCAGGATTTTGTTCAGTAGGCCTAAAACTTCTCCACCAGTGCTTTTAGAAGGGAGAAAACCAGTAAGAAGAATAAAAAGCACCACACTGTGACACTGGACTGAATGCTGAAGTTAAGGAGGAACTAACAAAGTAACCTTTGATATTCTCCACATTTCTTTTGGGTTTTAAATTATTCTTTAGGTTTTGGTTTGGTTTGGCATTTTTTCAGTATTGACTTCTGACCAAGGCCATCAAAGATTTTCCAATAATTACAGCAACATATAAAAGCAGTTTCACAGTCTCAGTTTGTTCTTTAACCACTACTATGGATCTGCTAAAACCGGTTTGTATGGATGTGAATGAGGTTAATCTGTACCCCGTTTGAAAATCAGACAGGGAGGCTGTAGGAGATACATACATACATTTTTTTATATATATATTTAATCTAGAGTAGCGTATATGTATATTTTTCATATATATCCAGATTTACATATTTTTCATGTTGATACTGTTCCCCAGCTACTGTCTCTGCTGTTAGCGTTTTTGCTTTTACAGAAGGCTGTCACAAATGCTTATTGAGGATCTTTGCATGGATCCCCATCCTACAGGGTAGAAGATGCATAAATAGGGAAATAAAAGTCTTCCTTGCCTCAGTTCTTCCTTTCTTCCCTCTCCTCCCCTTTCCCAGAGTGTAGCAAGAGCAATTGCCTCTTTAAACTGAGTTTGCTACTGTGTTTAATTCACTCTCAGTAGCAGGGGCTATTGTCAGCCCTCTCGGCCAAACTCCCAAGGTGTAAGGAAATCATTTCAGGCAATGTCACACAAATGTCACACGGAAACCAACCTGGAAGAAAATACAAGTTCCCTGATAAAGCCTCGGGGCAATTTTGCTGACTCATGCTTTGTCATTTGTCTCATGATAGATGGCATTTTTTTGTGAGTATCTTACCTTTTGTGAAACAGGAAGTAGCTACCTTTTAGCCTTGAGATCTGGAAGAAATGGTCTTGAGAAATGGCAACTAGAAATCAAACCTGACAAATCAGTAGGTTGTTATTACTTATTTTGTTATTCTTACTACTTTGATGGGTTTTGAATATTTGAGCTGGTTTATTCTTTTGGCCTCCTCTTCAGCAGGAGTTGAACAAGCTTATATTTGAAAACTAAAGACATGTTTAAGAAATGATATTTTGTCAATAAGCATTTGTGCAATGAAGACAGGCATTTTTAGGAGCTTGTGTTCAATATGACTAGTAAAATGCAGCAGATGACCCGTAGTCCTAATTATGTTAACAACCTATGCAGGAATAAACACACAATTTTAAGCCCAGTTTAAATAGTTTAAACATAGTTTAGGATTTAAAGTTACTGAAAAATAAGTTCAGTGTAGGCATAGGGTGTGTTCCCAGGATCAACTTCATTATGAAAGACTGTTTCTAAAGTCAAAGTTGGTTATTCATTTGCAAAGGTCACCTGTCCCAGGCCTCTTTGGCAAGCCTGCCAATAAAGGTACAGTTATGAAACACGGTTGCAAATTGCAGCTCGCTGTTCCAGGGAGGCTGAACTGAGGCCACCATCCTGCTTTTACGTAACTATCAAAGGTGAGTGCTTACTATTTTCAGCTGGACACAGCCCAGAAATACATGAAAGATGGAAACATTGCCGAGGTGCCAGGATAGTGGGGCCTATTTCAAGTTCTGTGCAGATGGAGCAAGTTCTGTCTGCACGGCATTTTAGCCTGTGGTACTCATGGTGGTCTGTATCAGTTTGCTTTTATC